TATATTTCCTCCGCTTTTTTTTAGATAATAGGGATAAGCTTATTAACTCGCTAAGCTCGGATTAAGCGGATTACTTTCGATTCCGAAGGGTACTAAGCTCTTTATTAATCGTCGCTTCGTTAAGATAATATATTACCCGATCGGTATTAGTTTTTACGCGATTCTCCGTTACGATATTTCGCTTTAGTCGCGAAAGGCTTCCCGTAGGAGCCCTTTAGCCTTTAAACGGTCCCGAAGGAAACTCTAGTATTAGCCTAGGACTTAAGAGCCTACTAAATTAATCCGATTTCTCCTTACTCCCCCGCTTCGTTAGCTCTAGAGCTTAGGATTCCGCCTCTAGTTATTCTTATATCTCTTTTTCCTAATCGAATAGTTCTAGGAATTCCTTTATAGATTAAATCGGAAGGTTTAGAGGCGTTTATTATCGATCGTTTAAAGGTTAATCGTTTATAAATCTAACTTTCTTTTAGATTAAAGTAACGGATTCTCCTTCTTCCGGAGCTTTCTCCGGTTTAGGTTTACCTACTCCCGAGTTCGGGTTAATAAACTAAGTTATATCTAAACTATCGTTTAAAGTAAGCTCGTTATTCCTAAGTTAAGGTAGCTTGCTAATAAACTCTATAATAAAGGGAGCTTATAAATCCTAAATATCTAGAGCTTCGATAATAACTTCCGTTATATTATTAATAACTTTACCCGTAAGGTTAATTCGGTCTAGCTTCTTTTAAGCGAATTCTTCGGTTTATAGCTCTTCGGACTTATCGTAAAATATTTCTTTATCGAAAACGATATCTTTAGTTAGCATTACTTTCCTTATTTTAGGAACCTATATTCGGTATAGGTTAGATATATAATATCTAACTAAATAACCGACGTAAGTTTTCGGTTTAACTTTAAACCCTTTTTTATCGAGATCTTAAGCGCGTTTTCCTAATAAAGGGTACGCGCGATACCCGTACGTATAGATTCCGTACTAATCCGGCCTTAGGTCGCTCGTTAGCTTCCTTATAAACGTAGGTATATACTATCTAAAGTAAACGGTAAACTAGGTATTAAGTAATTTATAAGGCGAGCGAAGATAGTATATATAGCTCGGGCTTATATTTATTAAGTATGCCGTAACCTTTACGTATTTAAGTCATAGCTTCTCTAGGAGCCTTACTCTTATCCTTATTTTAATCGATTTAACGATAATAAATTATTTAGCTTTCTTACCCTTATTAATTAGCTTTTTAGTATTCGCCGGTAATAGCTCGAGATTAATACCTTCTTCCCGAGCCTAGATTTTATATCCGGTTAGGCCTTTAATCCCGATTATTATTCGTTCGTTATCGTATCGGAACTTATAGATCGAAAGGCGGAATTATCGTCGTACCTATCTTTTAAAGAATCGAATAATCTTCGTAACTAAATAACCTTATTTATTCTTAAGGGTTTCTACCTAAAGTATTCCGCTATATTTATCTTTAATAATAAGTATTTATTTAAAGCCGTCGTATCCTTCCGGAAAGTTAAATAAATCCTAATATATACGTTAAAAAGAACGTAGCGAGCGATATAATAATAGTCGGCGTAAGATTACTCTCTTACCTATCGTAAGCCTATAATATTTATACTTAAGCGTAGATATATCGTTAATTTCGATATTCTAGGCATGCTTTACGAGTACTTTAAGCGCTTCCGGGCTTAGGTACCTAGCTCTAAGGTACTAGAGTTACTCGGAACCTTCTCTCGGTTTTATTTAATCTCTCGATTTTCTTTATCGGGTCTTTCTTTCCTTAGTCGTCGGAATAATAACGAACGATACTACGCTATATAGTATTATTATAGGCGTACGTAGCGGTATTATAGAAAGAACTTACGAGTAAACGGAAAACTACTTAAATTTAAAGAATATTAAGTTATAACGACGTTCGAGCTTTCTTATAATAAATCCGTTTTTAATCGACCCCCGGCGAAGAAAGTAATTAAGACCATAATACTAAACATTAATAATAAAAAGCTTTACTTCGGAAATAATATTAATATAGAAATCTTTAACGAGAATAACGTCTTTAAGCGTAAGGTCGATCGTAAGTTTACCCGACTTATCCTAAAGGTAGTTCTTAATAACGCGTATACTAGTACCGGTAATAGAAAAGCTCGTAATATTAACTTCGATGGTCTACCCGTTTTTAGCGGGAGCGAAGGAGCCTTCGACTAGTAAATCCCGGTTATTAATAAGGTAAATAGCTCCGTAGTTATCGAAGATAGTACTCTCGGAGAGGGGGTATCGTATTAGATTTATAATAAAAAATACCTCTACGTTAAAGGTTATGTAAATAATACGTAAGTCGATTACCGTTACGTTAATATTACCGGACTACTTATTATTCTTATTACGCTTATTCCGAGGTAAGTTAGTTCCGGAGGAGCTACCTTAATTAAAAGCGGTAACCTTCTATCCGTCGCTTTTAATAAAGGCTCGGAATAAGGCAAAGTCGCTTAAGTTATACCGTTATTTAGTAGTTAGTTTTACGTCGTCGGATATATATGAGATTTATCGTAGCGTTTTATCGGTAATAGCGAATTAAAGGTTAGCGTATACCTCCGGAACCTAACGGTATTATTTATTATATAGGTACTTATTAGCTTTAGCGTTATCGGTCGAGCTATTAGAACTATTAAAGCTACTAACGTTAGTCGCTCCGGCTTTATATCCTAAAGTAGCTCTTTAATACGTAACTAAGATATAAAGGCTTAATTTACTTATCTTCTTATCCTCGGAAATAAAAGCTCCGAATACTTTACCTAGCTCTATAAGGAAAAGTAACTATCGTTTAAGCCGGTCCGCCGTAATTAGTTTAATAGTTACGCGAATAGCTTAATCTAAAGCGATTTTAACTTTAATAGCTTCGAGGAAGTCCTTCGCTTCGAGTACGCCTCGGATCTCGTTAATATCGTAAGCGAAAGCTCGGTAATAAGCGTTATTCTAGGTAGTAAAGAACTACTCTCCGTAAAAAGTACCCGCCTTTACCTTTTATAGGACCTCGCGGTATTCCTAGTAAACGAACGTTTACGTAGTAATAAAGGTAGGAGCGAGGTAATCGCGAAGTAGTCTTATAATATTTTAAACGTTCGGCTTAAATCCTTAAGCTTTAAATTATATACCGATAAACTCGAAATAATTAATAAAAACCGAGGATATAATCTAATAATAAAAAGCTCGGTAGCTTTTACCGGCGATAATAGCTTAAGATTCCTAAGATCGACTCTACTTAAGTAATTACTTATATTCTTCGATAAAGAAGTAGCGCGGGTTTTCGGTTAAAGCTTTCGGCTCTTTCCTACGAGTCTTAGGATCTTTCTTAACCTACTCGTAAAGAACTTAAAGGTACTACTTCCTCGCTCGCTTCTTTTCCTAAGTAATAAATTCTTTAAGCGATAGGAGTATCGCCGAACTTAGCTTATAATCGTTTACATTAGGATTAATATCCTTTTAAATATCGAATTACTCGGCGTAGTTCTAGAAAGTAATAAACCATCGTAGATATTTATCGAAGTTACGTAGGTTAATATTAATAGGTAGCTTCTTAATGGAAAAGTTTCCGCTAGTACCTATTATTACTATAAATATATTACTCGAGAGGAAAACGAAAGCGATATTTAAGAGAAAAACGATTAATCGAAAGATTAAAGAGATAGAAATAAATAATAAGATTACTCGGAAGCTTATGTAATAAAACCTTAGTTAACTTAGCTCCTTAGAAGGACTACCGGGCTTATAATTAATACGTAGATTAAGAGAGCTACGTAAGTACTAAGGTTACTTCTTAGGAATAACGGAAGGTAGGAAGAAGAAGGTAAATTAACTAACTATCTAAGAAGGAAGGAGATTAATAAAGGAGATACGAGCTACCTATATATAAACGATAAGGAGCTACGAGCTATGTTATATAAGCGAGCTAGGAGCTATGTTAGGTAAGCGAGTAACTCGAGAAGGAGTAGGGAGCCATGTATAAGTGGCTCTCTATGTGATATATATTTATATATAGATTATTTAAACATGAAAAATTTAATATATTTAATTTCATTATTAAAATTAATCTTTTAATATAGTGTTAAAATTAGAAACCTTTATTAAAACCCTTTTCTTTATTTAAGTTTTTATTTATAAATATAATATTATATAAGTAATGATATATATATTAATGGACTATTAATTAAATTATTATATTTATTTCATTATATCTCTTTAGTTAGCTTTATAATCTAATGTTAAAATCCTTAACTTTTATTAAAATAGTTTTCTTTTATTTACATTTTTCTTATAAACGTTATATTATATAAATGATGCTCTATATTCATTTATATATTAAGAATTCTTCTATTAAAAGATTAAATATCTATAATTATATTACTTAAATTAATCTATTAATATAAGGTTTAAGTTAGTAACTTTTATTATAATAATCTCCTTTAGTTACGGTTTTCTTTATAAACCTTATTCTATATGAAAAATAATTTATATTTACCTATAAATTAAGCATGCATCTATCTATATATCATATAATATTTATTATATCTTTTAAATTAACGCTATTATATATAATCAAAGTTAATAACTTTCATAACATTAACTATCTTAAACTGCTTTCAATTCTTTGAATATTATATAACGTAATATATAATCTATATTTATTTATAAATTAATCAATTAACTATTCAAATATAAAATCCGTTTAATTATATCTCTTTAAATGATTTAATAATATATAATTGAAGTTGATGACTTTTATAGTAGCTCCATAAGGTGGCCCCATTTTTACGTTTCGGTCGATTTTCAATTCGCGAAAATCGTTTTGTCGGATACGCACTAATGGTGCACCGTAGAGACTCAGACTTTCTCGTATATGACGTCCGTCCTCATTGTGTGCTTAATGCCTCTAGCCACCTCCACCCCCTCGTGGCGCATGTCTCGCTGCTGGAAGACGACCAAGCTGCTGGCCCTGGCGTGAACATTAAAGCCCGACAGCTCGGGGATCGCGAAAATCAGCCGAGATCCGCTTAGCGCCGCCGTTGGGGTATAGGCGCACGGTGAGGAAGCTGTTCTCGCGGCCGTCGGCGCTGGCGAAGCGCCCGTCGCAATGCGGCCGGGAGGAGTCGCCGGGACCGTAGCGCAGGAGGCGCACGACTACGGAAGTCCATATCACCCACCCGCACCGCCGCGCGATCTGCGTCCCGTTATAACACCGTCAACGTCGCCGCCTGCCAGGCTCCCTAGTCCGGGGGCTCCGCGAACGCTAGCAGCGCTACGCACTCCGCCCCGGTCGGCACGTCCTCCATCGTCGCCGCGAAGAAGCAGCCCCCCGATTCCCCGAAAACCAGGCGGTGCTATCGTGCACCTGTTTTATACGAAGACCAAGATCTTTTGTCTCTAGTTAAAGCCTGAATTGGACCTGGTGACTGGCGCGCGGTATAATTTGTTGTATCCCGAGAGGCCACCGTCGTTGACCTGACTTTTCTGCACCATTAGTGCATCTCGATGAGAATCCGGTCGCGCAGTGATGATAATATCTTGTTATTGCGCCCCTCGTTTAAATCCCCTCGTCCAAGTCAGTCATGCTAAGCCTTGGGCGATAGCAGGGTAACGAGATTGGTATTCGCTTGGGGAAATAGACAGACCCGGTATCAAAGACGGACCAGATGCCCACCGTAGACCGTATTTCACAAATATCAACCCGCTGCTTTTCTCTTACCCCTAGCAACGCATACAGGTCCTCGAGATCGACGGTTTGGGCAATGCCTCTAGAAAGCCACAATTTTCTCGACTTATTAATAACACCTGAACTATGCTTAATTCATCTGCACCTACGCTCCTTACTCCTTTGTCGTGTCGGGTACCAGGGGCATATCTCAAGAGGGTTCTTTCACGTCGACAATTGCATTACCTATTTCTTGAGCTGGTGTGCTCTTTGAACATCCCCGATTCGGCGATTGGTGCTGCCTCCTACGGTGCGGCGTATTTGATTCCCATGAAATCTACCCGTAACCCCCGGAGCAGGATGGTTTGCATGTACAAACACACACATACACATATCCTCCTCCTCCTCTTCTTCTTCTCTACCTCTCTCTCTGTGTACGTGTTAATCTCAGGCATATACTTCTTCACACCTAATATCTCACCACAATGGCTGCACCGTTCGACGGTAACGGAGACGAGGGGCTGGGGCAAGAAGACAACAATGCCTGGGTCCAGGACGAAGACCTACCGCTCGCAGGGAACGAGGAGCAGGCGGCGTTTGATCAGGAGGAAGTTTTCGCATTGCCACAAATTACCGGATGGGAGGTGTTGTGGCAGTTCATCGTCCACCGCGCCGTCTGGGTGACCGAGCTGCCGGCACCGCCCTACCCGGACGAGGCGTGGACCCTGGAGCCCAAGGACCCGCCGTTCCCCTTCAACCTCGACGCGACGTGGTACTGCGGCGCCCTGATCGGGCTGATGCTCGCCGTCAACTGGGAGACGGAGCACCAGTGGCTGCTAAGCCACGGGTACCTGCACTACTTCGCGCGCGTGCTATCCCGGACGACAATCACCGTGGCCACGTCGGTCCTCAGCACGTTCGTCTTCGAGGTCATCGGAAATGTTCACCAGATGGCTCATGATGCGGTCATATTCAATTTGCCGTTCATCATCGACCGCTGGCTCGTCGAAACCTGGGGCATGGGTCCGGTTGACGAGCAGGGGCGCGCTCTCACGGACGCAGTCGGCGATGTCCAATTCCACCCGGACCGGAGCTACCGCATGGAGATAGTCCGCGACACGCTCACCAGTATCGTGATGTGGCTCTGTGAGTACCTGAGCATGGTGGGAGGATCTGTGCCGTACTACCACCTCGGTCCTGCTTCGATGGGCTACGCATTTATGTGGGTGGTACGCCTCGTATCTCCCGCTCTCGCCAAACGCCTGTCCCGCATAGCTAGCGCCGTCGCTCTGCCCACACCGGATCCGGACCAGGGATTGGCTCCCGGTGATTTGCTCCGGGAGTTCGGGGCACCGGCGGGACTCCAGGTCGGGATTGCGGGGTTCCTCTACTTATGCGTCTTCCTATTCATGTCCAGGGCGGAGACTCCAGTCATATTGCGCCAAGGTCAGCTAGACGGCTTCTCCAAGCTCGCATTCCACCTCATCCGCGCGACTGCGATGCACCTTCTGGCCTACACAGCCTACCAGGTCGCCTGGATTGGTCTGCTCACAGTGGAAGACTTTCTCACGGCTATCGCGCACTTCTTTGCTCTCGAGGAATCTTCGGCTTTCTTCGCGGCGATCCCATTTATACCCGTGCCTGCTTTCCTACTTTTCGTCTCACATTGGTTTCTGAAGAAGTGCTGCCTGCTATGCGTCAGGCTGCTCTGGACTTCGTGGGTCCCTTACATAGCATGGCTCTCGATTAAGACGACTCTCGGTACCCAGGCGACATGGGGAATTTATAGGCAGTTTGTGACGCAGGACATGGATGTATTGCTGCCGGGTAATCGTGTCCTGGGAGCGGTTATAATGACGGCTCTGTGCGGGTTGAGAAGCTCTTGGCCGTCTCGGATGAAGCTCAGCTCAGTTGCTTGGATAGACTAGTTTTTCGTCGTGCAGAGACGCACGCGTTCCAGTCATATGTTATTCGGGGTTTGTCGTTGCAAAAACAGAGGTGAATCATGTCCCGAAGGAGACGGACGTGATGAAAAGATGAGGGAGGACACGCGAGGGGGAGGTGGAGTTGCGCATTCGAATACAGGAGCAGAAGAATCGCTATATAGCTATATCCGACTTACATATTGACATGCATTTAGACGAAATCATTAATAAGTGGCTGCGACTCAAGACAACTCACCCGAATTTCCAGCTCCATCTCCGTCCAATCGGGTCCGACTAACTCCTCCGTAATGAGCTGAAGACTCGGTGGGCTGTCAATCCGTTAATCCTGCCCTCGTATTCTCACCCGGAAACACACCACCGTGGATGGTTACTTGGATTATAGGTACGAGTGTAACCGCCAGCTGAAACGTTGCAGGTCTGTTCAGCGCACTGGACCCATCTAGAACACGTAGACGAACGCTGTCTCGTGGGCCAGATAGATATTATTAGGGCGCGTGTTGCCTCTCGAGGTAGTATTGGCGCGCCCCGTCGGCCTTGCATTGCACGATGCATTTGAGCGTTACCTCAGTGGATCGGCCGTTCTATATATTATAGCCTATCCTGCCTAATATCCCGCAGACCCTGTTTGTTTACGAGTAGCTGAACACCGTAGGTGAAACATTTCTTTATATATAGCTAACTTGTCCTCCGCGCCCAAGGCGAACTAATCCTAATATAGCATCCTGTGTTTAGGTGCCAATACATACCTCCTACTCTTGCTGTCCCTCTCCTTTCCCTGGCCTCCTTTGTGTTAAACCCGAATATTATTCTCGAAGCCGGAATAATATCCCTCACAATGTTTAACTCTCTCGCCTACGCCATTCCCTTCGTTCTTCTCTTTGGCGTCAAAGCCTCCCCTGTTCCAGCCGCCACCCTGGTTGACTATGGCTACTGGAACATAAACGTATCGGCAAGCAACGCCGCCTCGGGGTATCGCTGGGGCGGTGTGTACGCGGAATATTCTGGCGAGCCTGGCAAGATTAGCCACACCACATGGCTGTGGGATCATACCATCAAGGAATACAGCACGACGACAGACAACCCCGACTTCACCAACAACATAATAGACTACGGAGGAGATCGACGTAATGAACCCTGATAATTTCTCCGAGCCTTCCACTTGTAACTTACTGACCGATTACAGCCATCCAAGTCCAACAGAGCGTCATTTTGTCGGGCGAGAACGTCACACTAGTCGGGTCTGGGTCCGTCTACATGAACTGCGGTTTAGGCGCGTCCGGTCGGTCCTGTAGAGGATCTGTTACGCTATCCGCGACGGAAAAGCTGGAAGAAAACTGAGGATCACAAGTGACCCTTGGCTCTGTCATTGGAAACTCTAGTCTTCAGGTTACGTGTCGCAAGGGCCGTCCCGTGAGCGTGGGAAGGAGAATACTGTAATGTCTATGGGAGAAGCAAGAGGGAAGGAGAGTGAGGTCGTGTGCATATTCATTTCTCAGCTTGGCATAGCTTGGTGAGGAGAAGTAAATGTTTTCTAATACCAATGAGTTGCCCTCGTGATCCTTTGGGAAGAGGTCGTGATATTGCGCTTCCCCCGATCTTCTCAGCGCCACAGTGCTATTAGGATTAAGGTGTCTCGATAACTAGCTAGCTAGCTGAGCTGAGCTGCAATGTCGCGCTCGTCTTGAAAATGGATTATGTCCACGATATCTGAATCAAGTTATTTTTTAGGGCATTCAAGACTCCAATAGGGTTTAGTGACTGTCACACGGGGATGGAACCCTATACTAATAATCAGGTTATACGGGTTAGGAGGACAATATCGGGTAGTAAGGCCGTTACCTCGGCGACTTATTAAGGAAAGTCCTAGATAAGCTACGGATAGCTTCGGTATTAAGGTACCTAGGTACTAAGGTACGGAGGTACCCCGGGAATATATTAAAACGAAATAGGGATTAGGAAACCTAAAAGGGAATAAGGACTTAAGAGACTTCCTATAGAATTATTAATTAAATTAAATCTATTCTAAGTATATCTCTTTGTTATAAATAATTTTATATTACTTTTACCTTTATAACCTTATTATAAGCTAGTAATAAGAAAAGCCTACGCCTAAGCCTACGTCGTACGCCGTAGCCGCTACCCCGGTATTATTACTATTAAATTAACTCCGACCTTTTATTAAAGGTCCGGAGCTATAGGCGTTCCTATTCCCGCGATCGGCTACCTCGGGACTAGCGTCGATTTCCATAGCGGAGGTAGCTTAAATAATAGCTACGATTAATAAATTAAAGGCCGCGATAGCCGAGTTAAAAGTAAAAGATACGGAACGATAGCGAACCTTTCCGGCGCCTTAGCTAAAAGTAATCCCCGAACCGACCGATAAATCCCTTATAGTATATTAATCCTAAGAATACGAGATAGTTATAGTTAATGTTTCGGAAATCGCGAACTTAGGAATAATTATACGAAACTTTCCATAATAAATCGTAAACTTATACGAGTAAATGGAATAAGTATATTAAAGCCTAGCGATATTAGTTAATTAAGTCGATATAGGATATCGATAAAATACGATCCTAAAGAAATAATACGAATAATTACGATAGCTTTATTAAACCGCTACGGCTATATAGGCTATCGGTATAAGGACTACGAAGATATAGATCCATAAGTTTTAGAAATAGGTCGTAAAATAAAGTATTTATTTCGCTTAAAACGTATAGGAAATAATAGCTAAGTTCGTCCGATAAAATGAAGCACGGACCGCTACCGTAAATTAATTCCGAAACGCCGTCCTTTAGAATTAACGAGCCTTAGTTTAATTACGCGAGGAATATAATAAATTAATAACGGACGTTAGCTTATAAGCTACGTAAAAGGATAAATAGATTAACGAGATCCTTAATAAAGAATACCTTACTTCCGGGACTATAAAAGAAAAGACTTAATTAATTAAGAATAATTTTAAGGCTTACGTAGTTAATTTAATTAAGGAATATTAATAACGACGATTAAATAATAAGCTAACGGATATTAAATTTATTATCGCTAAAGTTAGTTAAAGGGCTAGGATACTTACTCCCGTACTAGCTACTCGCCTTACGACGGCGTTAACGGGAAGATATATTAATAGCGAGGCTAAAATAAGGGAGATTATTTCTAATGGCGTATTATAGGATACCGCGGTTAAACGTACCGCTATACGCGCGCGGGTTTGTTTTTAAAACGCCGCTATAAGTACCTTTATATTAAGAGGGGCCGGGTTAGGACTACCGCTACCGTTAAGGACCTCGCGAAATACCTTAGGAGATTTAAGAAATTCCGATAACTCGGACGGCTTAGAATCCGGGGACCCGTAAAGGCTACGACGTTCCCCGGGTATCCCTAAAAAACCTTAAGAGCCCTTTAACCTAGCCGAAGAACGTATAATTCGGGCCTAAATTAAAGCTATAAATAATCGGCGAAGTATTACGGTAACGATTAATCCGGTATTATAGTGGTGCGGTAAGACATGCCCTCTTAATGCATTACGTAACACGCTACGATAGGCCTTATACCTATATAGAGTAACCATAGCTCCCGTAAGTGTAGGACATGCTATGCTTATTATTCCGTTTACGACCTAGTTAGATTATTATCTTTATTATTTTTACCTTAATTAAAGATTCGTTTTCATTATTAGATTCGTCGTTCTCCGATTAGTATATCTATCTTAGTTATAGGCGCTTAAGTTACTTCGTCGTACCGCTATAGCCGAATAAGTAACTTTTACGTTTTACTTCTTTTCTTTCCTTACCTCTTATACCTTCGGGCTAGCGACTATTACATCTCTACGACTAAGGGGCATAGCTAAGATACGATAACTATATTAGATTCCTTGCCTCTCGATTAATATAGCGATATTAGTTTTATCTATCTTAGACTATTATACGTGCTATAGTCTTCGATAGAGTGCACTTACGAGTAAACCTATCCGGGTCTCTAGCATCGCGTACGCTCTGCTCCTCCTTAGTATATCTTATTAAGCTTACGGCTTATAATAATAAGGACCTAGCTAAGTTCCGTTCTTAATAAATTAAAGTTAAATCCTACCTCGAAACCTATAAAGAAAGCTTTACCCGGGACGTTTAGAAAATTAACTAGGTAAGATCGATACTTATCGAAAAGGCTTAATTCTAATATTAATAAAGGCTAGCTTAAATAGAAAGGTTAATAATCGTCGATACTTGGGTAGGATATTCCTAAGCCCTTTAAGAACGATTTAAAGACCTTACCGAACGATATCGTAATTCTAAAAAAATATAGGAACTTAAGTACTAGGAGAATATCTCTTAGTACCTTATCGAACTTATAGATCTTAACGACGTCGTTTAATGGTCGGGAATTACCTTTTAAAATTATATTATTCGTACCTTACCCGATAAAATAACTAAGCTAGTTTATTTACGACTAAGTAGTATCCCCGAAAGCGATAAATCCTTCCTTAAAGTAATTAAAGAAGCCGGTTAAATCTATAAAAATATAATAGCTAACCTAGGGATTTCGGGAAAAGGAAGGTCCGCTTCGTAAAAGGAGTATTATAATAGTGCGGTAAGATATACCCTCTTAATGCATTACGTAATACGCTACGATAGGCCTTATGCCTATATAGAGTAACTATAGCTCCCGTAAGTGCGGGATATGCCATGCTTATTATTTAGATTATTACCTAGCTAGATTGCTATCTTTATTATTTTTACCTTAATTAAAGATTCGTTTTTGCCATTAGATTCGTCGTTTTCCGATTAGTATATTTATTTTAGTTATAGGCGCTTAAGTTACTTCGTCGTACCGCTATAGCCGAATAAGTAACTTTTACGTTTTACCTTTTTTCTTCCCTTATCTCTTATGCCTTCGGGCTAGCGACTACTATATCTCTACGACTAAGGGGTATAGTTAAGATACGATAATTATATTAGATTTCTTGCCTTTCGATTAATATAGCGATACTAGTTTTATCTATCCTAGATTATCGTACGTACTATAGTCTTCGATAGAGTATACTTTCGAGTAAACCTATCCGGGTTTTTAATATCGCGTACGCTTTATTTCTCCTTAGTAGCGACTACCCTATAACTTTTTCGACCCTTTAACCTTTAGTTTACGGAGTTTTTATTACGCTATTAGGATTTAAAGGATACCGATCGCCGTCGGCGCTATTATTTAACCCGCGAAGTAGCCCGCGTTTTACGTTAAATAGAGTATTCCGCCTTATGGTTATTTATCTACTATGAGGAGGTACGTATAAGCCCGGGAACTTTTATAACGATATTACTATTACTAGGATACTACCTAGCTTTTAATACTTATAACGCTAATAAGTTATCGATACTACGATATAAGACGACGATTAAACCGCGTTTATACCGATTAGGATATCCTTCGTATGGTTATTTATTTACTATGCGGAGGAACCCGTAAAACCCGGAGAACTTTCGTCGTAATATTACCGCTACTAGGGATAGTACTTAGCCCTTGATACTAACCGCTTTCTCGAACCGCTAATAGCATAATATATCTTATGCGAGTAAATAAAGCTTATAGCGATTAAGGCAGCCTTCTTATGGTTATTTATTTACTATATGGATTAGACGTACGAGCGCCTTAATATAAATTGCGATAATTTATACGATCCGCTATTTCTTTATTAATACTAAGGGCGGATAAAGGCTAATAATAATTATACCTTAACCGACCTTACGATAGCTTCTTTTTCCTTCTAAACCTATTAATCGATATAGATTAAATATATAGATATTAATAACTTATTATACTAGAGGTATTTTAAGATACCTAAGCGTAGCGATTCGACGATATAGTATACGATATGATATAGATATTTATATTAATAGCATAAATAAGAATTAATAAACTAATAGCTATTAGTAACCGATAATTTTAAAGAGAACTAGGAATTAATATTAATAAAACTACGTAGATATAAAGGATTAGAGAAACGGAACTAAAGTCGAACTAATAGGTATACTTATATATAAGCTAGCCTTATATTACTAATTAATAGCTAATATAGCGAGAAGTACTAATATAGGCGTAAAACGGCGCCTAGCGGTAATACCGCTAATACTATTAAATAACTCCCGTTAGATCGAGACCGGCCTATAGCTATAACCGGTATCGTATTTAACGCGATCCTTTACTCGGGATTTATCCTTTATACGTATTACTTTAACGAAGGTTATACGTTAGGAGTTCTAGACCTTAATAAGAGGGATTATCGTCGACTTATTTATAATAATTAAACTATTAATCTAAGGAATACGTATCGTACTTTAGTTAGGCGTTAGCCGATTAGAAAAGCTCGTATAATATCCGGACCTTATCGATCGGGATAGTATAATAAATAGTAATATATCTATACTAAAGGAAAAGTATTAGGATATAGATAATAGCTATTATACCTTTACCTTTATATTAGATAATAAGACCCTTATTATCCTTCTTTTTACTTTATACCTCGTATCGATAGATTAAACGGAATCCGTAGCTAGGAAACGGAGTAAATCGCCGTTAAAACCCGAAGTAGTAAAAATTAAATTACTAATAAAGACCTTAAGAGTCGATACTAGCTCTCCGCTCCTATATCCGCCCGAAAAGAAGGAGGATAGCGATAAAACTCCTACTTAGCTACCCCTTACCCGCGGCTTTATACTTATCCCGCTAATCCCTATG